TTGATTATAAATTCTCACTATCTATCTTATATTATAACTTTGCTATAGCTTTTTTCTCCTAAATCTTGCTGATGAAGGTATGGAAAATGGAAGGTTCTACGCAGTCATCCACACTTAACTTGGTCTGGGGCCAAAGCGCACCTGAACAACTTGCAGGAGTAATGTTCGGGCCTCTTCTTCAGTAAACAGAGTCTTATCTCCTCATTACTCGGAATTGAAACCAAACCCAAGTCGTCAGGTCTTCTTCCTCCTGTCCACCTCTTCCAAATTTATGTGTTGACTCTTGTAATGACAAGAACATTGCGAAGCAATGTGTCGTTCCATGACCCTTTCCATAGCACTTAGGTTCCAGAATTGGGTTTGGGAGCGTCTCTCGTTCTGAAGGGGCTTTACCTTTGAGCGTCCGTGCGAGGTGGGCTGACTAGCAGGGGTTCGGCTTGCAGATCGATCCCAAAGGGGTGTGGTTTTGATGTTGTCCAGGACAGAGGTTCTATACGAGTTCGAGCGGGAGTCAAAGTGACCTTTGTTTGGGGAAGTGGTTTTATAGAATCTTCGAGGTCGAGAACTAGGCACTACAGGCTGCCTCTAACGAGTGACACCTTGCAAGAGCAAAAAGAGTACCAGTGCAGCAGATTTCCTAAGGCCCTAGTCCTTAATAACATCAGGATAGTGAATTTTGAGTTGGGGTGTCGGCCCGAACTTATTCAAGCCAATTGCAACGGACCAGGAAGTCGTCAAACGGCGACAGATATAGAGTCTTTGACGGGCTTCTTGCTCCCTGGGTCAATTTCCTATCCATTTAATCAAGGAGTTCGGGTAGTACGAAGGCGGGAAGATATTTTTCTCTTACAGTTCTTGTTTAATCATCGTCCTCCAGTTCCGTGATAGGGTGTTCGCCTCGAGATTGCGCAGATAGTTCTCCCATAAGATTGGTCCAATATAAAAGTTGGCTCGGCCCGTGAGTTTCATTTCTGCAAATCTAACCTTCAATAACCTTCGAGATGTTATCCCATTTGAACTAACTATCCATGGATTTTGAGCCAATCCATGAAGACTTGGGATCGAGGGTCCATTCCATAAGTTGGAGTATCAATTTTAATGTTTTCACAACTGGGCATCGTTGTCTCCTCCAAGGGTTTCTAAATCTCCACCATAAGGTTCCTCTTGAATGGGTCTACTAGGGTATATTGATTGCGGTACTCTGAGATCAAGGTCCTATTGGTGGGTCTAATGATTCTCGGCCTCGGTTTATCCTCGTCGTAGGGTGAGTGAGCTGTGTGAATGGGGTGTAGATTGCGGGGTTCCCAATAACACTCTATTGTTATCATTAACCGATCTACTGGTTATATCTCCTAAAATCCACTAAGTCCGTACGAGAGTGTTTGTTAGATTCTGCTGCGTAACATGTACTCCTAATATGGCCCAAGATGAGGTCTAGGGTAGCTTGGAGGTGCTGCCGGATCCATGGGGTTTGGTTATGGATTGAATGGGGTAGTTTTGGGGTGAGAGGACAGCACTTAATTGCTACAGAAAAAAGCTCCTTAAAGCCTCCAAAAGCTGCTAGAAAAGTCGCGGGCAAGCAACCTTAACAAGAAGCGCGAAAGATGTTCAGGTGTCAGAGGTTGTCTGTCAGGGTGTGGACATCAATATGTCAAAGGTTAGGTGCACTTAATGAAGTCACTAAACAGGGCAGGAAAAGTTCTGGACAGCAAAGGTTTTCTAGGGTGGCAAGTGACCTTAGGTGATTGGGTTGGTGTAAGTGGAAAGACACACTTATGTAAGCTAAATGTGGAATGTTCATAATGAAATTGACATGCAGAAAATTACTGGACAGCGAAGCAAAAACAGTGAATAAAATGTTCTAGACAATGCTATGCATGTAAATGACTAATGGCAAGCTAAAGTAGACTTCCCCTAGGATGCATCTAACATGAGCAAAGCATGCTAGCCATGCTCTGATACCAAGATGAATGTGAAACCAGGAATTTAAATTTCAGGAATTAATTAAGAGTTTGTTAAAGTAGTGAAAGTTCAATCTTAATGATTTTGCTTAAATTGAAACTTCAAGAAAGATCTCGGAATTTAACCAAATCATAGGCAAGTAATACCGCTAATTAGCATGATTTATAAAATAAACAACGACAATAAGTAGTAGTGCAATGAAAAGCCAACGAGAATCCAACGGTTAACAAAGCGATTGTCTCACCTCGAGGGCTACACTTCAGTTATCTACTTCTAGGGTTGTTGGAAGAAGAAGAACCACACAAGAGATGAGAGACCACTCCGAGGGCGACGGTGCCAGAGATCCGTAGGGAAGAAGAGGAAGGCGCCGGATTGGAGAGGGTGTGTGGAAGATAGCCGTCGATGGTCCAACTCGTAGTCGGGACGTTGTCTATCAATAACTTGGATGAGAATTGGGAGGATCCGATCCAAGTAATCTCCCACGTGTGTCTTCGTGGATTCAAATCCCGCGTCGAATAATGGCGATCGTAGTACGTCGAGATTGCGTGGACATCAAACACAAGCCCCCATTCTAGCTCTGGAATCCGCCCATGCAATCCTTGCCCGGAGTTAAGGTAGTGTCCGAGAAGGGGAGGGGAAGTGGAAGGAAGGCGGGTTGAGTAGTGAAGGTGGCGGCGGAAGTCGGCTAGGTTGGAGAGGCTTGAAAATAATCTCAGCAACCTGAAATTATTTCGGTTGTAATACAAGGGGGGGGAATAATTTGAGATTTTCAAATTGAATTCCAAAAGGAGAGGGGCTGTAACGAAAGAGGTGTCTTGCGGCTGAATTTGTTGGAGTTTGTGAATTAATCGGGGAGAGAGAAAAAGGGAGGTGGTCGGCCCATGGCGTGAAGAGAGCAATCAAAAACGTGACACGACCTCTCTTTAAAAGTTTCTGAAATCAACAAATCTGAGAATTGATTCTCAGGTTTACGTTTAGAAAGATTTTCAATTTATTTACACCTACGCCTTTGGCAATCTTCACGTTAAATGAGGAAATTAAATCAGGTTCAATTCCCTAATAGTGGAAGATGTATAAATAGGAAAGCATTTACACCTTAGCCTGGAATTTCAAATTTTGAAACAAGTGGGCGGGTGCTGAAGTGGGGCGGCTTTTGGAGCGGGAGGGAGGGACGGCCGGCTGCTGGGTTGCAGGGAAGGCCGCCGGTGGCTGGGTCGGCCAAAGGGAGGCCGCGGTGGAGCTTGGGCGTGGTGGGAATAAAAAAAAAAAAAGAGGAGAGGTTTCGGCTAGGTGGAGAAGAGAGGTATGGAGGGAAAAGAAATAAAGAGAATTCAAATGAATAACCTTGATCACCACTCCACCGGTAGAACTCACAAAGAGATCCCGGACGATCTCCTCTTCAAGAAAATCAACAAAAGAGTTCTTAGAGGCTCATGACTCACAAAGAGAATCATCAAAATAAAATTTTCATTCATCAATAATCTCAAGTACAATGACAAAGCCCTTTATATAGGCTAACAAAGAAAATAAAATGCATAAAAGACGAAAGGCCCCTTGGGCTTACATAAGTACTAATTCCCCTCATAAGGGGTACCAAAGGAAAAAC